CTCTATTTCATAGGTTTGATGATAATTTTTGTTTCGTTTTTTTGCAAAAAAATTTTTATGGGAAAATAATTTTTAATTATTATATTTAATAACATTGATGTTATTTTTTTAGAATTTGTTTGTGATGTTTAGTTTGATACCAAATAAATAGAGCAAATATTAATATAGCTATGGCAATAAACATAATGTTGACACATAAATGCCAAATCTCAAGTTAAATGGTTCATCTAAATTTGGTAAGTTTATGCAAAATGATATAAATTGATAATATTTCAGCTTTTAGTGTTTAAGTTAAGAAAGATTTTTTTTGCCTTTTTTTACCTTTACGAATGGCTAGATTTATTGAGCTTTATAAAAAAGTTTCTGTGTATAAAAAGTATATAGAATGTTTGAGAGGCCTTTTAAGGTTTTTTTTTATTATTTGTTTAAAATAAGTTTTACGAGAAAAGAATTAATAAAAAACATTCAATGAGAATTGCAAACTTTGTGAACTTTATAATAAAAATGTGAATATTACAGTCGAATCTGCAAAAAATACAACTTTTAATAACTAAGAAGACGGGGTCTACAAGAAAAATATAAGACTTTTATATAGGATTGCACATTAAAAATCCATAACAATCCCATGCGCAATCTATTACGACGGGACGGTGTATAAACGTCTAATTGTTGTTTTGCCAGTTCTTGTCATGCACTAGCAAGCTGTTGTTTTGCAATCACTGGATAGCCACGGCTGGTCCATAAAATATCTGTAATTTTATACAAATAAACTTAAAGGAAAACAATTTTATTAATTAGATTTATTAGCATTGATGTTTCGTTTTTAGAGTTTGTAAAGTTGACCACCGTAGCCGGTCCAGTGCGGCAGCTTAAAAAATACTGTACAGGACCATTATATCTTTGCTGTCTCCAGTTTTAATAATTAGCAATAAATTTACAAATGTGGTCTAAAATAAAGTTATAAATCATTGGACCATATTTAATAAATGTATTAACATAAAATAAAAAAAATAAGTGCGTAATTAACTCGTGAGTAATCAGTAAATTCAAATACTAATATTCCGCACGACTCCATACTAAAAAGAAAAGGTGTTGTACCTTAATTAAGAGAAAAATAATTAAGATGAAAATAAATAAATTCTTAGGACTCAATTTCAAACGGTTTATTGTCAGATTTATAAGGTTTTTAATTTTTTTTTTCACATACTAAATTGAAGCCCAGCATACAAAACCCTAAAATATGTTGTTTTATAAAGGAATAATTAACTATTTTCTATGCCATTGCGATGTGTCCTAAAGTATTACACTAGGTTGCAGTTTGTGGTTTTGGGTGTTGCACCTTGGGACTTCCAAAAAGTGTGAATAAAGTTTTTAAGAATTAAGTGAATGAAGTGGTATTTTAAAGAAATAAATCCTACTTTTTTTAAAACTAAAGTACCCAAATTACAAGACTTTTAACTATAACGTTAATCTAAAGGCATGTTATATGCATAAAAATCAACAGGGCCCTTTATAACTTGCTTTAGACTCTCATAAGTTACCGATGAAAACAATCGAATTTACTTAGTATATATTTGCAACCTTTTTAAACAGTTTTTTATCTGTTAAGTAAAAAATTCTTGTTCTAGTTTTCACAAAACATCAAATTTTATTTACAGTGTCATTATTTTTGAAGACTTTAGCTGCATAGAGAGAAACTCGCTATTTGATAAACAAAATCATGAATATTTAAAATGATGAACATTTTTTTTTTGTAGAAAACATTTGCCTTCAAGGCTGTATTTAGTATTTTAAGAGTCCTTTTATTAATTAAAAAATTATTGTAGTTAGTTCTTGAATAGATATATTAAAACTTTCTATATTAGTTCCCAAAACTTATTTGTTAATCCTGTGAACTATAAGTGCCAACAGTTGTGGCATTTTTTTTCCTGGGATTATTCATGCTACTTTTAGTAGAAAGAACTTAAGAAGGTATATGTACTGTTTTGTCTGGTGACTCTAAATTGATATTATTTTTTAATGATCTAAATAAAATTTTGAATATTTTTTTCGGTTAAAAAAATTGTAATTTTATGACATCCTATAGTTTTTTGAATTATTTCATTTACACTTGCTTTGCTGAAGCTAATTGCTCCAGCAAGACTTTTAGTCTTAGGGGTTGTTCATTAAGTACGTACGCTCATAGGAAGAGGGGGAGGTCTTCAAAAAACGTATGAAAGCGAATGGGGGAGGCTTCAATTTAAAAGTACGTACTTCGATCTTCTAATTTTGCACAATTAACGAGCTAGTCAATACAAAAGTTAAAATTACGGCTAAAGATCCTAGCTTGCCAACATAAAAAGATGTATTGTATAGAGAGTAGAAGGTATAGTTTTTTTGATGTTCCAGATAAACCACGTCCACACATTGTGCAAACTCCAAACTTATGTATGTTTATACCTATGACATATGAAGAGGACACGCAAAAAATTGTTATGGAGGTAGCGTGGAAACAAATAATCCCTCAAAAGCTTGCATCCCCTCCTCTGCCCAAATGTGAGGGCATAAATTTAGCGACTTTACATTTTGCATCGGCTAACTTTTGTAATATACAATATTTTTCAGCGAAATTTAAATTCTGTTGATAATTTTGAATTTAAATTTAGATCGTTAATTTATAAACTTTACTACATAAGTGTCCTTACATTTGAGAAAGGAGGGGGCAAGCGTTTCAGGGCTTTTTGTTTACAGGTCTCCGCCATCCCAACTTTTTATAAGGTCTCCTCATTTGGCATAGATATAAACATACTTAAGTTCGGAGTTTGCGCATATTATCAATTATATACTAGCCCTTAGTATACTCAGGGCCAGTATAAAAGGGGTGGCATGTGTGCATGCATGTGCAAAAAGATTTTTAAGCATTGTTTTAAGCAGGGTTTTATGCATTGTTTTCATTTTAAAGCAGGGTTTTAAGCATTGTTTTCTATGTTACTCTTGTCGCTTAAGACTTGCTTTTTTCGGACTAACTAAAGAGGGTTACCTGAAAAAGATGTCTGCCTTAAATATAATTTATTTTTATTTGATGCGTCTCATAAAACAAAAAAAGTAAAATAAGACTTTAACGGAAATCGAACTTGGGTCTCCGCCTGCCCACAACATTGGCCAAGCGAAGACACCCTAGATACTTTCAAAGTCTCTAGGGTACCTTCTTAGCCTATATTTTTTTTAAATAAATTTTTTAATTGAAAAAAAAAATTGGGGGGCAGGGATATATCAAAAAAAAATTTAGGGGGGTATAAGACACTTCCTCCCCTCCCCTCTGTAGCCATGCGTACTTTTTAGTCCTTCGCCCCCCTTTTTAAGGAGGGGGAGACTTAAAAGTATGCATGACTACCGGGGGGAGGGGAGGAGGTGACAAATTTCAGAATTTTTGGAATACGTACTTTATGCACGACCTCTTAGATTTGCATAATCTTAAACTATGATGTGGTTATATAAGTCATGTAACCCATATTAACTCATAAACCTGATGATTTTGAACTTTTCTTTTTCTTCAAGGTTGTTTTAACATTTGTTTTTTCATTTTAGGCTTTAATGCTCGATCTTTGTAAATACTTTTGCAACAATTCTCTATAATTTACAATTACTAAATTTGCATCATTTAGTTAAATCATCATTTAGTTGTAATGTAGAACAGGCTTTATATTGTCAAATCATAGTTGAGTTGCTCAATACTTTTGCAACTTTTTTGATCATATGTGTTCTCATAAGTGGAGTATTAAACCTTTAAGAGGAATCTCTACCCTTTAAGCTTACTGTACTTTCTACAAAGCTAGATGGTCTATCATTTTCTAAGTATTGCTTATGTTACAGCGCAGCATTTTTCTAAAAAAATGTTGCTCAGGCTGCTATAAAATATAATTTTACATGCTAAACTGAGAACTCAATATTCACAGTAAATCTAATACGTACATTAAAATAACATAAAAAGAATAACTCAAACGGTAGTTTTTTGGCAACAAACACAAAAACAAATTATGATGTTAAGAATCATCAATAATTGGAACTCTTATTTTTATAAAAACTGATGTATATTTGTAATGGGTATTTATCGTTAAACACTCTTATAAAATTAAATATAGCATTAAAAATATTTTTTAAAATGATTTGAACAACTTTAAAAGGTTCAAATGCGTAAATTTACACAATGTTCTGAAATAGAACTAGTAGCTAAGTATTTCAATGTAATGTTATATTACTTTCAAAAATCGAATTGTACCATTTTCATAAATAGTTGAATTTTTTTAAGTATTTGAAAAAAAAAGTGATAAAACTTAGGATATGATGTACATACGTACAACACATTTTTTAAAGCATAACCTTTATCATTAATAAATGTATAAAAATAATAACTTTAAATGTGATTTAACTAATCTCAAAAATAAATAATTATTATTAATCTCTTATTATTATTAATCTCAAAAATAAGTATACGGTTTCAAAATATAACACACTGCAAAACCGTGTTTTAGATTTGCAGCACAAACTAATTAGCCATACAATTGTTAGGAGAATATTCTAATATTTATAAAAATATAACTGTTTTTATGACAGTTTAATAAATCAAAGTTAGAAAAAACAAAAACAAAAGATGAGTTCTAAAAACTTTACTTATTGATGGCAAGATCATCTTTCTTTTTTCAGATTCTACTTAACGCAAAAAATAAGCACAACTCAATCTTCATCGGCCAGATAAAAAACTGAAAAAAGTTAGACTGGTCTGACCATACATAGAAACCATAACCTATGTTATGATATCTATGTGTGAAAAAAATTGTGTATAAACAGTAAAATAAGCAAAAAGCATTTTGCTTTAAAGTAACACTGTTTTAAGGTACAACACCTTCAACTATATTAAAAAATTTAATAATAACATTTGATCAAGGTCAGTCTTTCTTTGTTTCTTTATCTTTTATTATTTACTTATCTAATGAAAAATTTTAAAAATAATTTAGAAATACTTTTGCATTCATAAGAATAACAAGTACTATGCTCAGTATTGTTTCCACTGCATGGTAGGCCAAATATTTTTGGTATTGGATTTAGGCAATTACGATGCCTTGTTTTTATACCACCTTGACATGGTTGACTGCATGAAGACCACAATGACCATTGCGTCCAACCCCCATGAACTAATTATTTATAGAAAAAAAATGTACTTCTAATAAATTTAAAAAGTTTTTACAAAAAAATAAAGGAGCATTCTAACATAAACAAATAATGATTATTTAACTTTAAAGGAAAAAACCTTTTACCAGGACATAACATGTCGTTTTCCATAAAATGAACATCAAGATTAATCCCAAAACAATTGTATCCGCCGTTGGCAGGTTCTGGGTTAGTACAAGTCCTTTTTCGTTTAGTAAAACAGGTTCCACATTGATTTAAACAAGATTCAAAGATGACCCATGTACTCCATTTTCCATCCACTATATAAAATAAAAATTTTTTATGATAAAATATATATATATATGATATATATATATATATATATATATATATATTATCATAATATATATATATATATATATATATATATATATATATATATATATATATATTTTATGATATATATATATATATATATATATATATATATATATATATATATATATATATATATATATATATATATATATATATAAAAACATTACATTACTTGGAGTGATAGTTGTGTTCGTCAAAACCGCAACTCAATTATGACAACTGCCATGATTTATTTTCTAACTCAAAACCGACTAGTTCAAGATATTACAATAAAGTAGAGTGTACCAGGACATTTTGCAATTCAGGATGTTGATAACATGCACAGTCAAATTGAAAAAACACTGCAGTTTTTTGAATTTTACTTACCAATTTCTTTAATGAGACTTTTACTTACAGTAAACAGGAAAAAACCATTCACAATTATTCAAATGCAGCCAGAGGATTTTAAAGATTTAAAAAATGTTGCGAACAAATTTTTATTTAAAAAAGTGCCATTTTCAAAAATAACATCACTCCAAATTAAATGCGCATCTCTTGTAAGGTATAAAGTTTCTTATTCAAATAAAATGTTTCATACAACCAATGTAAAGCCACCTTAGAAATATACTAGAAAAAAAGATACAGAAGTTAAAAAGAATATTATGTTTACTTTGCCTAAACCAAGTATTCTTTTCAAGTTTAATCAAAGTGCCATTACAGAAAAAAAAAATTGATCTGAAAGACATGCTCAAATTTATGCCTTTACAAAATAAGGAATATTATGAAAATGTTATAAAAATTTGTTGAAATATTTAGAGACTTAAACTTTATTTTTTCAGCTATTCTTCTTATTTTTTCTTATATTTAATCAAATATTCAATGCTTTAGTTTTTTAATGTTGTCTCTTTTAGAACTTTTTAATTCTAACAAAAATACGTTACTATTGTAGAAAACAGAAATAATATTTCTTGTAGAACCTTTTAATTCTAACTAAAATACGTTACTATTGTAGGAAACGTTCTAACTGAAATCGAAAGTTTTGCTTAGATTACAAAATATTTCGTCTAACTCCATTTTAACTTAGTTATAGCATTGAAGAAAGAATACAACCATTTTGGACAAAACTTTTTCTGAAATACTTTTAACGTTTCCATGGGAAGAGGATACAAAAGTCGATTTTCTCAAAACTAATAAAAACATCACATAGAACCCTATAATTCTCATGCAACGATATGTAAAATAAATAAGACAAACAATGCATCTAAAACAGCACTTAACAATAATAATAATAATAATAACAGTATTAATAATAATAATAAAAAAATTAAAAAATAATTGTTTTATAAACACCAATATGAACAAAGATATACAACAAATACATTATCAGACAAAAAACTTATAAAATAAAAAATTGATTATAAACTAAAAAGTATGCTAACAACAATGGAAGGCCTCAGAATGGAATAAAAACATTAATGCTAATATGTAAACATAATTTAGGTTGGTATTAAGTAATAAATATTACTGACGTTTTGATGAGAATCAGCATTTATAACTAATTTATCCGTCATCGCCACTAATGCTATACCCCGTGACTTACGCCTTATCCATACTGCGGTAAGAATAGTACTTCTAGCATAAATAAACCAAAAACAATAAAATGGCAATATACTCTATAAAAAACCTTTTTAAGTCCTCAAAAAAACTCTAATGATGTCATAGATATTTCATTCGAATTTCGTTAACCAATTTAAAATGTAAGAAATTGAAAATCCCGCGAAACTTAAAAGCATCACTGAAAATCAAGTAAAATATAATAAGAGAAAAAAATATTGCCTGCAAAATTGTAAAGATTTATAACATGTAGAATTGGATATAAAAAACCTTTTGAATGTTAATAAAAGACAAAAACCGTGCATATGAAAATTAAAACCAAGCTGAGCAAGGAATATAGGATAATATTTCTCAAAAAATACTTAGTAATTATATTAATATGCACACCAGCCAAAAAATAATATTTTAAAAACACTGAAATAAGATAAAATAAATACTGGAATATGTTAAAATTAAAACTGTAATTAGACTAGATAAATTTTGACCTAAAGGGTGGTTAATAAAAAACTTTTCAAATAATATTACAATGAAATAAGGCATGATTTAAAAATGATTTTATAAGCGGCTTAAATACAGTTTAGATGTAATGTTTCCTTAACGGTCCGAACCAAAATAACTTTAAGACCATAACAAAATCGAAATTTCAAAAAGTAGAGTTTTTTCTACAGTCTGATTTAAACGTATTTTTGAGACGATAAAAAAATCGATACAAAAAGAAAAGCATAATACATCAACATATAAGTAAGAACACAATCAAATCGAAATCTCAAAGAACAAAGCGCTTTACAAAATAATATTTTAGAAATAAACTAATCAGACAGTTTTAGATATAATGGGTACTTATTAAATAAAAAATTAAAAGAAATATACCATAATAGAAAAATAATGTAATGAACGGGGAAACATTTTTAAATAAGACTTTCTCTACGGTCCGATTGCAGAAAATTTGAGACTATAATAACAAACGTACGATTGAAAATTTTAATTCTAACTAATAAAATATAAAAATAAAAACAGAAAATGGATGTGAGGTAAACCAATAATATTATGAATATAGTAACACTTAGGAATTTAACTTAGTTAAGCCATTATTAGCAGTAAAATACGCTTGCCAATGTTCGGGCCACACAATCCTTTTTTTCACTAATCAAACGATTAATTTAAACAAAAATAATCTTTATCATCTTAATAAAAAACTTAGCCTAATATGTCTCAAGTGAAAATTAAAATTATTCATAATGGAAAAAAGTTAAAGTCCAAAACAACGAGAAATTAGGAAAAGTCCGCTCGAGCTGTCTTTAAAATACATATTTTTGTTTAATGTATAATCAGATTGTATGTTGAACACTTTAAACAAAATTAATGACAGTGAAATTTTATATGTATATATGTATATACATATAAAATTTGTTTTATATGTATATACATATATACATATAAAACAAACTTTTCTTAAATTTCCATTGTTTTGGACTTTAACTCTTTTCCATTAAAAATAATTTTAATTTCTACTTTTGACATATTAGACTAAGTTTGTTAGTAAGATGATAAAAGATATTTTGGAATAAATCAATTGTTTGGCCAGTGAAATGAGATGTTACAAAATTTTTTGTCAGGGCTAAAAAAGGGATTGTGTGGCCTGAGCATTGATAAGCGTATTTTAGAGCAACTAATAATGGCTTTAACTTGCTTCTCTAAAAAATTTACTTATGTATTAAATACCAATCCTACTTTACCCAAATTAAAATCTATCATAGATAGATTTTAGTTGGGGTAAAGCTGGATAGAGTAAATAGCAAGCACAAAACCAAGAAAACAAAAATAGAACAACAAAATTACAAAACCAAAGCATCAAAATACATAAGAAAAATGTTGTGTTTCCTCTTTAATACTTTGGTGGTTCCCCTGTGCAGAAAAAAGGTATTAAAGTTGAATTTAAAATAAAAAAACGAAACAGTTTTGTGGTATAGCTCATAAATCAAGTTAAGTTTTTTTTTTTTGTTAACATTAACATTGTTAACATTGTTAACCGTTTATACCTACAATTTCTATAATACTTTTATTAACCAATCACTGTAAATAGTTTATTCCTAAACATTATGTTAAAACTAGTTTAATACAACTCATTTAAGCTAGGTCCTACTTATTGTTTAAATATTGTTTAAAATTTGCAGATCAACCTTCAGCTGACAGGTTCCACTTTACTGTTTCGACTGCCTTTATTGATACCAAAAATTAAAAGAAATTCATTGAAGCACACTTGCACAAACTGATCATTTAAATTTATAAAAAACCTTTTATTTGTAGTTGTTATTATTTAACTTGATAGTATTTTATTTTCGTGGTTGCCTTGTTGCGAGACCTCACATTAATACAAACCTAGCTAGAGAAGATTTACGCAAATCTTTTCAGGACATTGCGTTAAACTAACATAAATATGATTTATAATTTTCCACTGCAACTTCAAAGTACTTTAATTTTATGCATTTGTACTCTGGTCTAGTTGTGTGATTTGAAAGTTTCTGCTTTTTTTGTTTTTATTTTAATCTTCTAATTATTTTTCTGTTTTTTGGTTTATTCATAAGTTGGACGCGCTCGCAAAAATCTGATAACTTTGATGTTATTTGATGTTATGCACTTAATTGTACTTTTGAATAGCGTGACCTAAAATTAGTTTAATGACATTGTTTCTACTTTCAAGGTAATCAACGGAATATACCCTTTTTCCATATGACAGGGTTTTTTCTTATTAATATTTACATTACATTACATTACAAGTACATAACTGTGTTTTTCAATTAAAAAGTTGTTTAGTTTATGATATGTATGACTATTAATAAAATAGCTAAAAAAATTACAAAATTTGACTTTATATATGAAAAATATTTGTAACCAAATAAAATTCAAACCTGGACATTTTTGATTTATACATGACTTCACTAGCTGCGATTCGATTTGTTGAGGAACTAATAAAGTTTTTGAATAACTATATTTATAACCAAACCCACATGTTTCACTACATTCACTCCACATGGTTGCATCTTCTACATAAAATATTAAATGTCAAAACAAAAAAGTAATTACAAAATAATTTTTTTCTTATTTTAAACTTTTAACTTTTAAAATTAAGACTTTCTTTTTATAACTACTAATTCAATTGAATTCTGAATTGAATTTTTATAGCTACTAATTCAATTGAATTCTGAAGACTTGGAAGTTATAGTTTTTTTATAAATATCATTCTCTTAACTTAAAAAGTTTAAATCTTTAGAATTCTTACACAGAATACTTAAAGTATAATTATTCATCTTTGTTAAATAACTTAAAAAGACACACCATTGCACTTTTAGTAATGTTTTGTTGCAGTTGATATTTTAAGAAAAAAATAAAGTAAAAACAAGAATTCTTTTGTGAGAAATAATGTAACAGTTAAAAATAATATAATAAAACAAAACAGTGTTTTTGTTCGATAAATTATTTATATCTTATGTTAGTTTTTGTGTTTTATTGAAACACTTATAAAATTATTATTTAATAAACTCTTAACCTTTTTTTAATGCGAAATTTTTTATTATTATTTATCAATTCATGACCGCATTTACACTTAGTTCTTTAAAAAGTGTTATAGAAAACAACTTGAACTTTTCAAATATATTCTCATCAGGCTGACATGATTTTTTAAATTAAATTTACTTTATGTAACAATATCATAGGAAACTTTAAATGTATTTAGACTTTTTAACATAAACTTTGTTAAAATTAAATAAAGTTTTATTATACACCAATACAATATTACAACCTAATTTTTTATATTATAAAATTTATAGTAATACAAATTGTATTACATTTATATTGCAATTCGTATTACATTATTTTATATTATAAAATTTTCTATAATACAATTTATATTACAAAATTTATTATAACCCAGTAAAACCTGCTTCATGCCCTGCGTCTTGCAGGAAACGCTTTTTTAGGCAAAGGCTAGGAGAAAACAACTCCGACATAAAACGCTCCCTGCCATTGGGCTATTGTTTGAGTAAAGGTTAGAGATTGTTATTCGATAAAAATACTCATCTTTGGCAAATGTTAAACTCATCCAGCTATTGCCTTGATGAGGACATTCAAGGCAAAAACTAAAGGGGTAAATAGATTCTATTTGTTGACCAGCTTTGCACCACTTTTTCATCTCTTAGGCAGACGCAGATGTATTTATAATGCATTGTTTCCAGTTTAGTATGCTGTATGTTGGACTTTCTTGACTCAATGCACGAGTTTCGCTTGTGTCTCAGTTTTTATGACTAGGTAACTTATTCTGTTATCTCCTATTGAATGTATAGCTCTAAAACTCAGTAAAATAGTTCTGAGGCCGGCTGGTACTCAGGTTACCTAAATTCTGTCGTAACTCTCATAGAGGCTGATTTCATCAACAGCTGTAGATATCAAAGAACTAACAGTGCTATGTTGCACATAGATAGTTTTTTTTTTTGTGCCTTTGGTGTGCATTGCGAGGCTATATTTGGAGCCTTTTTTTACATCTCAGTGTTTGTTAACAGTGATGACGCAATTGCTTGGACAATTAAATAGTGCACTGAGTTCTATATATGCTTTAAGTAACCTCTCACCGTCATCTCAAGACTGCACTTTCTTTGATGTTATTTTTGATCAATTTGACCAAGCCCTCTCTCTTTTTCAATGAGCCAATATCGTTGTTATTAGTGACTTTAATGCTTACCACACTGAATGAGTTGGTTCTAGTGTCAGTGACTGCAGGCGTTAAAGCTCACAGCTTGTGTATTATTCAATCTCTAACTGAAATTGTTAATTTTCCAACTCCTTTTCCACACAACCTGAATCATTTACTTTCTCTACTTGACTAATGTAACGTTTTTGATCCTAGTCAGTGATGAGTTTTCATTCCACATTCACCCTTAATTGCTTCTGAGCACGGTTTGATCTCTCTGAAACTATTTCATTACTTTTCATTATCAGAATCCCCCTATCATTGTACCTCTCACGATTGCCTTAAAGCAGGCTGCTACTCTTTTCCTAATTTTCTTCGTGATGACCCTTAAGAGGACATTTTTTGTCATCTTGCTGAAAAATGTGCCTCTTACAAAACTTCTTGGATTCACGCTGACATATTTTCTTTTATTACCTCTATAAAACTCCTATTCAAGCCTCAATTTTTTCCTCGGTTTACCTCACATAAAATGTGAGGCTCACAGTAGATGAAGAACTTTAATTCAGATAAAACAAAATGATTTTCGGTTAATCATGTCCGCAATAAGTTAACTTTTTCTATATTTATAAATGGTAATGTACTCAATGAGTTGTTAATGCATTTAATGTTTTTTAATGGTAATGTACTCAATGAGTTGTATTAAATGCATTTAATGTTTTTCAAAAATTAGGTAAAGAAGTTAAACGTTCAATAATAGTAATCAGAATCTTACAACTAAATCGCAAGATTTATTGTGCAAGTTGAGGAAAAGATAGAGGTAAATAAAAAGACTTTTTTTCTAACTCTATTTGTCTGATTGAATTCCTCCACAAGTTTTTGACATCATAAAGGTCCATAAGCCAGAAGAATAACACTATGAGACCATTGGTTTCTGTAATAGACAAACCTGCTTATGATAGCTAGCTCTTCGTTATCTTGTTATAATTATTCAAACTAGCGTAAAAAAAAAGCAAAACAGGATTTTTTTAGTTCAACATTGTTGTTAATAAAGCAAAATCCTGGTGTGCCAGTCCGGTCAAAACTCAAGTATCATAAAATGTAGTAATCAAATAAACATTCAAAATGTAGTGAAATAGATATAAAAAAATGTAACAAAAATATATTTAAATAAGGTTATAAAATTCACCAAATATCAACAATAATGAACACATAAACAAAATCAAATTCAAATACAGTTAGAGCAAATATTATAATGCTTATTCAATTTAGGATTTTTAAATTAACGTGACTTCTAACACAATATACTCTTATTATTGCTCTCTTATCTCGAACTTAGAACATTCTCTTATTTACCTACTTTTAATTCACAATCAACATATTTCTACTTTTGAGTAGGTTTATGTGCAGCATGCACAAGAACCTTGACTCTAGTTTAAAACCCTCACCATTCGAGACATATAAGTTGTATGGAAAACATTCAACAAATATTTGCAAGAGTTGTCTGCAAGGATATCATATTACATTTCAATACTTAGGAAGACAAATTATCCCAGATTTTATTTTGGTTTTTTATAAATAATGCAACAGAGCATAAATTTGATGGTTTGGGGAAAAGTGGCATAATAAACTTTTTTTTTACTTTGTAACATTTTTTCAGGCATCAGCTTTATTTATAAGTTTTTAACTACAAAATTATATTTGTTAATTGAAAAATAAAAAGAGATAAACTTCAAAGACTAATAAAGTAAGGGTTGTACAGGAATTTTGGTATATCCCCACAAAATTCTTACAAATAAAAAATGCAAATTTAAGTAAAGCTACAGCGTAGTGCTCTAAAACAATTTTATTTTTCTGCTTGTTGCGCTCATATTAGTGGAGAGTTTTAAAACATTAGAGACTAATAAAAAGAGTTTTTAAACATTAAATTCAAATAATAAAATTAAAAACAATTGTTTTCCTTTGCCAAATCCTGAGTCATGGTAGCAGCACTTTCTTATTTCATATACATGTATAAATATATATATATATCTTTATATATATATATATATATATATATATATATATATATATATATATATATATATATATATATATATATATATATAAATATATATATATATATAAATATATATATATATATATATATATATATATATATATATATATATATATATATATATATCTTTATATATATATATATATATATATATATATATATATATATATATATATATATATATATATATATATATATATATATATATATATATATATATATACATATATATATATATATATATATATATATATATATATATATATATATATATATATATATATATATATATATATATAAATGTCTTCTTCTCGTTTTTATATCACAAATACGCTAGACGCATCTACAGTTACTAAACAGGTAAGCTTAACAACGTTTCCGCCAAACGCTACACACTTTGTTAGGCTTTCGTGTTCCGCTTGAGTGTTTTTGTTTGAGATCTTGTAACATTACCTACAAAAACGGAAAACGTCCTTGGATTTAAAAGCATCATCAATATTATTAGAACCTGTAAAATCTCCGTAAACAACTGAATCTTGAATAAATAGTAGAAATAATACATAGAATCTGCAAAACAGCAATATCTTGAATAAATAGCAAAATTAATATTTGAAAAACCGTTAAAAAAAAGTCATCGGAGTTATCATAAAAGTCATTTGCTAAACAGCCCCACCGGAAACATAAAACTGATTGTTCCAAACAGCACTAAAAAAGTTCATCGTAATTATCGTAAAATCTTGCTAAAAAACAAACACAGCAGAAAAAAAATCATCGCAATCATTGTAAAAATCTTGCTAAACAGCATTGTTACAAACAGCAACACAGCGCAAACTATCGTAAAAAATCTTTGCTAAACAGCATTAATGCAAACAGCAACACAAAACTCAAAACTGAAAAACAGCATTAGGAAAAACAAAATCCTTGAATAAACTACAAGAAACTTGTGATGGTTGGGGCGTCTCAATTCCCATCCAGGAATCTTGTTCATTGAATCTTGTCATTACCGTTAAAAGGTAATCTTCTAGTCTCTGAGGACAGCCGTACAAGCTGAGCGTTTGCAAACATGTGTGAAATGTTTTTTTTCTTTAGGGAGCATTGACTTCGACTGATCTTGTCGGCATAATATAAGATTATTGGTCTGTAGGCATAAACATCTGTCATAAAAGTTTTCACTGAGTCATTTAACGTATGCATACTGTAATTACATGACGTCATTTCAGGTAATTAAAAAATTCCAATAGGTTTCACCTTTGTACAATCATATACTATACTTATAAATAATCCTGTGGTGAATTGAGATAAGA